ATATTTCTTCATCTGAGTCATAAGAACCATCAGAAGTTTCTTCCCGTATGAGTAGAATATCAAATATTTTCTTTGAATGTCTTCATCAATTTCTAGTGCATTTATCTTTTTCTTAATTCTGCATTTACTTTTGTAATGCCCTACTTTTCCACAATTGTAACAAACTGGTAGTTTCTTTTCCCCTTTATGTTTGAAGGACTTGTCCTAAATAAATTTCTTGGGAAATTTCTTTTTCTTTCTATAGGGAGTAAATCTAGACTTATGTGGATGTTTAATTTTATCTTTTGGAAAAGGTTTTGAAGGGGGTAAAGTGTTATACTTAAACTGTTCACAAAAGTCTCCTAGCTCCTTTCTCCCAGTCATTCGTTGTTTTTTTAATTTTCTCCTAAGCTTAAGGTCTATACATAAGGCTAGACCCTCAGCGCATATTTCTTCTGACAATTCTCCTCGGGCATATTGGGAATAGGGAATGAGTCCATTATGCTTATTTTTAAGTATTGTTTTAACCTTTTCAGCAAAAAGATTTTGTAGTCCTGATATGAATTTCTCCTTCTAGTGGTCTACCTTGCTGTCTTCTCTAGATAATAGTCTTGAGTAAAATACATCTTTATACCATTTAAAATGAGAGCGTGGGGCAACGAAGATTAGATAATAGATCTTCAGATCTTGGGGCTAAAAGAGTTGTACTTCCTATTAAGTGTAGAGTGATAATATAAATCAGGTATTCACTGCATCTCCTACGTCAACTATGTGTTCCTGGATTTGTCCAGGGCCAACTTCAGTTTTAACAAGCCACTATTTAGTAGCATTAAGGATCTGATCCTCAGCAGACTCATCCATATGAAAATCCCACCATTCTCTAAGCCATCTTGTAAAGCCACATATGATGGCTTTGGCGATTTCATGATCTTTGTTTCCACTGGTCTTACATGCGGTGGTATACATAGTCATATGTTTCATTAGGTCAAGTATTTTGTTTTCTGACATGCCGTCTATGTTCCAATTAACAATAGACAATAGACATTCCTGAGTAGGAAACTGAACTAGATATAAGATCCTCTTCTATTTGGAGGTCAACAAGAGTGGGTCGAGGATTGTACATTCTAGTTTGGTAGACTGGCTTGATTTTTCTCCCATAATCTATCCTGTTCAGATCCAGCCTTTCTATTTTAAAAGCAGTTTTTCAATTAAAATCATTGAAAAAATGATTTCAATAATGGAAACTCAAGATAGTTTCCAACTACTATCGTCAAGAATAATTGAGGAACATAAAAGAAAAAATTTTAACTATCTACATATCGGCTTAGTCCAAGTGCAGTTAAGCCTTTAACCAGAGCAGGATTAAACAATTTTGTTCTTTTATGCCTTTGGTATAATAGGCATAGAAGATTCACAGATTTTTATTAGGAATTGTTGAATCAAGTTTATGCAAAGGTCCTATTTTCTTTAACTGTTTCCCAAATTTTTCTGTAGCTAATCTTCTAAAGGTTTTAACTTTAAACTTAAACACTCAAAGTTTTGATGTGGATCCGAGATCCCAAAACGTAGCCTTTGTATACATAATATGTTATAAGGTAATGAACACCTTATGCCCAAATACCCGACAAATGGATACCAAAGGCTAAACAATTTTTTTTCAAACCAACATAGAAAAACAAATTTAGTTATGCCGAAGACACTTTCTTGGACCCAAGTAAAGCTGCCTGAAAGATGGTCTCTTCAGCCTGAAAATCAGACTACAGTTCAAGAAAATAGGGAACCCGAGCAGATTATTGAATACCTTGACGACGAAATTGAAATACAATTCCCTTCTATAAGAAATGCTAGGCTTAGTATATCTAATCCTTCTCCTTAGGTTCCACCTAGTATGTTGACATGCTTTGTTCCCCAATCAGATAATGAGAAAGCCCATAATGAAAGAATAATTCTAGAGGGCCTTAGCGAGGCTTCAAACAATGTCTAGCATCCAGTGTATAGAATTAATACCCCTAGTTCTTCTCAAATTGAACCAGAAGAACCTACACTATCTGACCTTAACTTTGATCTTCTTACTATTCAATGTCAAGATGAGTTTGTCATTGACAAAGAATGGATTAAAAAAGATTTCATTTCAGAAGAAAATAGACAAATAAGGGAATGGTTTTTTCAAGAATTTAAAGAAGAATTAAGGAATGTTTTTCATAAAAAATTAAATGAATTCATGATAAAAGATAAAAGGAATGTAAATTTTTTTAAATGGCGTAAATATATTCTTAAAATAAAAGGAATTAATCCCCCAGAATTTGAAATAAATACGACTGAAAAATCTTTCCACCTTTCATACTATTAAAGGTGAAGCTGTCGAGTCAATTAATCTTCCATAAACAAGTTTACAGTTAAAAGGAGAAAAACTTGAAGCTAAAGCTTCATCATTTAGACTAGGGACTAAAGAAACTAATAATCATATGGTCAAAATAGAAAGAATACTACTGCACATCATAGAACAAAATAATTATACAAATCTCTTTCTACAAACTATAGGAAGACTAATTACTAGAATTAAAAACTCCCTAAACAATCAATAACCAATAAGACAATAAAAGAAAGATGAAAGCCATAAGGTAGCAGTATTATTCAAACCCCCCCACCTAGTATAGAAGTAGGAAAATTTAGCCTGCAAGGAATAAACCTCCTCTTGTTGGAGAGGTACAAGTTCTGTAGAAAGATCAGAGTTATAATGACCAAGAAATTACTGAAATTGAAAATGCTTTTAGAATAGAAAGCTTGGATCTTAACAAGATAGATTATGGGAGGAAAATCAGGCCAGTCTCCCAAGCTAGAATGTACTATCCTCGACCCACTCTTGTTGACCTCCAAATAGAAGATGATCTTATTTTCAGTTCGGTTTCCTACTTAGGAAGGTCTATTGTTAATTAGAACATAAACGACATGTCAGAAAACCAAATACTTGACCTAATGAAATATATGACTATGTATGCTACCGCATGTAAGACCAATGAAAACAAAGATCATGACATCGCCAAAGCTATCATAGGTGGCTTTACAAGATGGCATAGAGGATGGTGGGATTTTCATATGGATGAGTCTGCTTAAGAAAAAGATAAATGCACTAGAAATTGATGAAGATATTAAAAAACAAATAGTTGATATTCTACTAATAAGGGAAGTAACTTCTGATGGTTCTTATGACTCAGATGAAGAAATATTAATTGGACAAGTAAACGATGAAGAATTTGTTGTTTTAAGTTTCGACTCTGATTCAAGGGATGAAAATTAAAATTATAACGCATGCCAATGTAAATTTTGCAAAGCCATCATAGATATGAATGGTTTGAGCCTAAACACTCTTATAAAAGAAGATAGTTTGATGATCGACGTAATTGATAAAATTAGTGACCCAGAGGCTAAAAAAGAATCCTTAGTTCAATACATCAACATGGCCAAAAATCCATCCAGGCCTACTACTCTTAAACCCTCTCTCATTCCAACAAGAGAGGAGTACAGTTTTCGCGATGTTGTTAAGAGAGTTCAAAACAGAACCCAGACTATTAGGGGACCTTCAATTCCTAATCTAAAGCATGAAATTAATGAAGTTCGTAACGAACTGATAACTTTAAAAACAAGGGTTCAGATTTTGGAAATGACTACCAATACATCTGATAGAGAAAAAGATCTTAATGATGAAAACAATTAAATTGAATTTAATAATTTAACAAATGAATATCACCATAATCCTCCTCCACTTGTGGTTGAAGATACACTCCTAAAAGTTTTAGAAACTGAGGAGCTTGACACTTATAACAGGTGTAATGTTCTTGAAAAAGCCAAAATTTAAAGTTTTGAACACATCAGCCTCCTAGATAAGGTTATAACTCAACGATGGTTCACTATAGTTACGATCATGGTACAAAAGGAATATAGTTTTCAAACTACGACTCTTATTGATTTTGACGTTGATCTAAGTTGCATCAATGAAGGTTTAGTACTTAAAAAATATTTCAGCAAAACCACCCAGGCTTTAAACACTGCTGACGGTAGAAAAATGTTAATAAATTATAATTTGTCTGATGGTGCTGTTTGTAACAATAAAGTTTGCTTTACTTTCCCTTTTATTATGGTTAATGGATTGTTATTCTTAGAACACCTTTTTTTAACATGCTTAATCCAATAAAAATTGATGGCACAGGGATTGAAGCTAATATTGAAGGACATGAAGTAAAATTTGACTTCATTGAAAAACCTAGGGTGCATGAAATAAATAATGTTAAAAACAAGATCTCTACTAAAGAAAATTTTCTTTTCTCTCTAAAAGAAGAAATCAAATGTAAAACAATTGAAGAGGAATTGTTATCTTCTAAAATCCAGCATGAGATTAGTACTTTTAAAATCAAATCATGTGAACAAATCTTGCTTGAAAAAATAAGGATATCTCAGAGAAAATTCGTTGAATTTAATAAACATTGTTTAGAACGAAACTGCCATCTTTACTTCATGACTTTATACCAAGTCCCTTGGATCCTCAAATGGACAGATGGGATTATATTTTAGATCTCCACAGGCAAAATAACAATAAAATGGTGGGACAATTACAAAAATGAGTCTGTTGGACCTGATAATATTGGCATAAAAAGAATCCTCCTTACATCTCAGTTGCAAGATAATCCTAAAATAGGGATAATGGAATATGCACGATTATGCAACAACAAAACCCAAAATTATCCAAAACAGAGCTTAAAAGAAAGCTTTTACTAGCCCTGGACGAAGACGATAAAATGTCTACATCAACTAAAGCAAAAGATGAAGATGAGGATTATAGTCCTCCTAATGGAGATAACTGTAAAGGAATTACCTTCTCCGAAAATAGAAAAGTAAAAGAAAAAGCTTCTACAAAAGGGACGACACGACTCTAACTTACTCAGGACACGAGTCCCACTATTCACCTTTTATTGTAGCAGGTGGCCGACATCTGGAGTCTCACTATTCACCTTTTACTGTAGCAGGTGGCCGACATCTGGAATCTTACTATTCACCTTTTACTAAAGCAAGTCGGTGCAATTATGCAATGGATTCCAAATTTCTATTTTGAAGTCTTGCCCTCCATCTATAATTAGGGAAAGCCTCTTCTTAGAAGGGCATCGAAAGTTAGCAAAGAGTGTTGGAGTGTTTGTGAGCATAAATGTCTTGAGTGTTGCGAGTGTCTGAGTGCTTGTGTAGTATTAGCAGAGCGTATGCATTAGCGTGATTACTAAGCTTGTCTGGTGGCGTATCAAGCTCGTTTCTACAACTTGTCCTGTTTAATGTAAGTTAACTCTGTTTTTATGATCACTATCATATATGTCCTATATGTTTACTCTG